AGAGAAAATCGAAAACCGGACTCTAAAACATAGCAAATTTAAATATGTAGGGGATTTTTGGAGGGATTTCAGTCAGTACAAACTGGCAACGCTGCGAGAAAATAGTAATTAAAAATTACTGCAAGTGTCAAAGATAATACGATTTAAATATTAACGATTACCGACTCTTAAAAATATATTCAAACTGACTTAGATATTGGTCTTTTGGTTCTCGAAACAATATCCAATAATATATCCAAGCTGGCGATCAATATTCAAGTCTGTCAGTCAGTGAGATACATAATTTTTGTCGTATTAATCCAATCTCGAACTATACATTGCAATAATATAATGTATGAGAGCCTATCCTAATGTTTCGATAATTAAACTTATAGAACTATTCATATAGAAATCCAACTTTACTACGAACGAAATATACAATAACATGAATCCGCTGAAACGCGAAATTTAGCATATTCGTACCTCGTACATGAAACCTAATTTGTTTGTACCACACAACACGCTATTTTTCCTTTGCATAATGTCTTCGACAAAATACCTCTGTACCTAACGGATGCAACCAAGTCATATGCTGAGAGCAACAGTAGTTGTTTGTTTGTTGGGTAGATAGGTAGACGACACATTGAGTACCCAGCAAACAGGCATTGAGTGAAAAATACTGGTTTACTCACCCAAATGCCGGCTGGCGTCAACCACTCGTTCTACTCTTGAGTTTTGCACAACAAAAATTCGTATCACTAGCACAAACATCGAAGACAAATCAGTCATCGTTGAGAGCTCAAGCAGATAAGTTGTAAAATCGGAAAGAAGAAATCCGCATTCGTTGTACGAAGGCAGTTCGGAAACTTCTTAGTCAAGCACAAAAAGCGGGGTATATACAGAGAAAGTTAATTTTTTTTTCGATCTGGCAACTCCTTCATATAGAAACAAGCGTTAAAAAAAGACGCATCCGCAATTTTTAAAATGGAACAATTAGAAATGCGTGCTGTCTTTAAATATTTACATAAAAAAGGTTTATCGGAACAAGAAATTCATAATGATATGGTGAATGAGTTATGTGAAAGTGCTCCTTCATATGACACAGTAAAAAATTGGGTTGCTGAATTTAAACGTGCAGATGCACCACGTAGTGGATGTCCGAAAACAGCAAAGAACAAAAACTCAAAAGGAGAAAAAGGTGATTTTAAGTTAAAATATTACGAAAAACAAAAGAAATTTAAAATATTTGGAATTTCTTATTAAAATACACAAAATATAACGTTTAAAGCAAAGCGGTATTATATTCTATAACGTACAAGCCAAAAAAAGTCATTGAGTACATATTTTTTCGGTATACATACAAATTTTGCTTTTATTGCGCAGTTGGTGATAAAAGTGGCAACAATGCATTCCAAACTGGTTGGAAATTGTAAAATATTACGTAATTACTTAAATAAATAACAATAAAAATTTTGTTTAAAATCGTTACCACTTTGCTGAATTCGCCAAAAATTATTTGTAAAGCAACGCTGTGAATTCTAATAAAATTTCATTTTTATTCATCCATTTTAGATACAAAAATGAACCCGGCAATGACGCGCTATAATACAGCGATACCTTAACACACACGCCCATTCATTATGGGGACCAAGGGAGCTCTTACAAGGGTAAAGCTCCAAGTCGACTCATTATACTCTGTGCAGTATGTCGCCAAAAGGTGGCGGCCCTCCGCGCGGTGGTCCCCGGGCAACGTCGATTTAAATGGAATCGACGGCGAAAATGAGCGGCGCAACTGTGGGGATTAATGGAGTAATCCCAAGAAGAAACTGAAGAAAATTTTGGGTTAGACAACTAAGACGGGTTGCTAACCAAAATCATGTTGAAAGTGTGAGGCTGATAATCTGTGTGATATCACCTTAGAAATGTTGATGAATGCCCAGCCCATTCAGAAGCGAATCGTTTGTTCGATGGATGCACTTAAGAGAAGTTATCCAGAAGCCAATCATAACTTTGGACCACATACAGTGGTGTGGTTCCAACTGAAGAAGTGAAAGAAAAGTCGTGTGTCGACTATACGTGAATTCTCATCAAGGTCAGAGAATATCAGAAAAAGTAGAAAATCCCATGTCAGGATGATTCTTGAGCAAAATCTCCAAAAATTAGAAAGGGCTGCCACAAAATCTGGACATCTGATAATTGCCATAAAACAACATCACCACGAAGTCAATCTGTGTCATCATTCGGACGGACTAACTATGGATTTGTAAAAATATTTGTTGTACCCCCCTCGAAGCAAATGTTGCAACTATTCCACGGCGAAACATCTGATAGATAACAGAGCGGCTGCTAAACTGCAGTATTTTTTCCCATATCTCGTTCGATCAGGGGAAGTATGGTGAGAGCTGCGCGAAGACCGTTCAAGCGAAGATTTCGTTTGATCAGGGGAAGTGTGGTTTTAGCTGTGCGACGACCGTTCGGGCGAAAAACTCTGGTTGTGCTAATTGATCGACGAAGCATCCATGGACCAAGCAAAAGCAAATAAAGGATATTTCTGTAGGAAGTAGCGATCGCAAAGGAAAAGGGCCTTTGAAAAGATCCCTCTTCATGATTATCTGCAGTTTGCTGTGAGTTTGGACTGTGCGTATTCCAAGTTGATGTGGTTAACAAAACCCGAGTGGATACGGGAAAAAATACATTTTTATATCACGTTCGATCAGGGGAAGTATGGCGAGGGCTGCGCGAAGACCGTTCAAGCGAAGAGTTCGTTTGATCAGGGGAAGTGTGGTTTTAGCTGTGCGACGACCGTTCGGGCGGAAAACTCTGGTTACGTTAATTGATCGACGAATTATTCATGGACCAAGCAAGCGCAAATAAAGGATATTTCTGTAGGAAGTAGAGATCGTAAAGGAAAGAGCCTTTGAAAAGATCCCTCTTCATGATTATCTACAGTTTGCTGCGAGTTTGGGCTGTGTGTATGCCATTGATCCGGTTAATGAAACCAGCGTTGGATATGAAAAGAAGCAGAAAAACAAACGCAACAACGACACCTTGTAAATGTGGAAGTTTTCATGGTACCGAGAAAGCTCTCTACAGAACAAATGCGCTGGCAATTATCATCAGAGCCATGTGAGAGCCCACGTGTTGCGGAGGAGATAAATTGTGTTTACGTTGACCGGCTATTGTGTCAAACACAGCAATAACCGGCAATCGAAAAAAGCAGAAAATGTGTTTTTATTTTTAAAATATCAAAAGGAACTGAAATGTTCTACATCAGCGTGAAGAATCAAGGAAAAGTTCTTGATTTCATAAAAGCGAAGGTGTTAAATCAAGTAGAGTAGAATTCAACCGGAGAAAGTGTCTCCAGCTGAAGAAGAAAATCTGTCAAGAAGATGCTCCTTGCCTGGAGTATCAGTCAAGTGTTCAATCTCACGTTGCCTCGGGGATTGTAAGAACCACAGACCTATGTCTGTTTATAACAAGTATAAAAAAATCCAAAAAAAAATTAAAAACCAATGTAAAATCCAAAAAAAAAAAAAATAATTAAAATACAAAATGTTAGAACATCCACTCCCTGGGTGGGGGTTATAACGCCAAAAAAATTAAAAACGTTTTCAATTGTCTTTTTTTATTTATTTACACAGAAGAGAGACATTTTGATTCACAGCAGGGAGAATCTGAGTGGGTTAGGTGGTTTATCGGTTGTATTGGCCTGTTTGTCGGAAAACCTTATGAATGGAATGAATAGTGGAAATTTGATGATTGCGAGAGGGCATGCGCTATGCACAGGCGTGGTAATACGCCAATGCTCAGCTGTTGTGTTGTAGTGGTTATTGTTCATTGGAAAGAAAATTGCGTTTTTTTATTGACTGGAAACTGAAATCACTTGACATGTGCTAACAACGGTTAACTGTGACCTCCAGTGACTCTTTAAAGCTATGTTGCGAAAATTTCTTCTACATTAATTTAATGTTTAAATTTAGGAGAGAGATGCTGTTGTACTGGAAAGTATTTTGAAGAAGGATTTGTTAGATAAAAAATGTTAAAGCGTTCACGACAGACAGTTTTCAAAGAAAAAAGTAAACCCACAGTTTGAGTAACTATAGACGTATTCTGTAAAGAAATACCATATATTATGTATCTAAAGCTCGGCTTACGGAACAACCGTTCTGTCATAAGCCAGCTAAGTAAGTGAGTAATATGCTAACAAATCTCCCACGCAAAATTATTAATATTCGACGCCTTTAGGGTTAGTAGACATATAAAACTCTTTCTATATTTAAATAGTCATCTGATTTGTTGTAATCATTCTATCTGCGGAGGATATCGATATAAAAAACTAGAACGTATGTTTCGACAATGACAATGGACCTAGCTTCAATGTAATGATTTTATACACATGTTCCATCCTACCATTCGTCGTCAATATCTATCCCTATATGTTCATTTGAAATAACTGTCAGTATACCTATGGTCAAGTATATCCAAAGTTCGAACCGGGCGAACTTAACATTTCTTCCCTTGTTATAACTCGATCCACTCCGCCAAGAAAGTAATTTTTTGAATAACCTGTGGTGTACCACTCAGAGCTATGTTGATAAGCGGAACAGTCGTGCCAGAATCACATAATGTTTTACTTGAGTTCCCAGTATATTACGGAGGTTATAGTATTTTCACTTTTTCCACCATAGGAGCTGCAATTAAATACTCCCATCTCTGCCATGGAGATAATTTAAACTAATTTGAAAACAAATTGAGATCTGCACGCATATCGACTAAAACAATAAACCTATTAGGCGACGCATCTATAAATACAATGATTCCATTTAACTGGGCACATTTCGATCTTCCAACTTTAATAGACAAAACAGTAAATAGATTAAAAAAATGTCCTTTCACTTCAAACGTAATTTGAAAATTGTTGTGCTGCTTTTTATTGTGGTTCAGTTGGTGAAGTGTCAGGTAAAAAATGGAGACATCAAATAAAAAATAAAATCATTTTTCAATATATCAAACAGGACGACATGCCTCCCGAATCTGAAGAAGAGGAAGATGATTCTTCATCCGAAGAAACTGTGGAAGATTCAAATGAATCGGGTAATCGGCGACGACGTCGTCGTTCTATGGAAGTTATGGGACAACCGATACCGGAAAGTCAGGAAGCTCGTGCACTTCCTGGACTACCAGATCCAGCAATGATTTTAAAAATTGCTGAAATTCTTACCACAGTTGGACAAGAAATTCTACCTGTTTTGGTTCAAGGTAATACAGCCGTTGATTCGCTAGTTGATAATTACGTTGAGAACGAAATGAAAATTGTTAAAAATATTAAAAATCAAATCGATGCGATTGCAAAGAATTTGAATAGGAAATAAATTTTATTTTCTCAAAAATATTGAGAAATATTGTTGATGGAAATTAAATGAAAATATTTTATTTTCAATTTCAGCTATTGGCTAAAAATTGGGAATAAATACAATTAATAATCGAAATTCAATAAAATGTTTAAGAGAAATTTGGAAAACTGTATATATGTATGTGTGTTTGTTAAACTGAAAATGTTATTTGGGATTACAAACTTTTGGAGGTATTTGGAAAATCATCAATGTTGTCCCGAATTTTTCGGACTTGGAAACCATTCGAAGTTTTTGCTTACCCGTGTTTTTCTTTTTAAATGTATTCGTTGCGCACGTTTTAAACTTCTTGCCATTTTGAGATGTTTTATTAATCATTTCATGTCAATCTTATCCTTGTATCCTTGACAACGACAGATGTGACGGAAATTTTAAAAAATTATGTAAAGCCAGCGCTAATTTCAAAGTTACGGATGGCAGGCGATTGTAATTACAAATATTCTAAGAAGATTTAACGGCGAACATGATGTAAAGATTTGGGGGGTGGGTGAGGAAATTAATGGCTAACGACATGTGTGAAACGAATCTGGAAATGAGGCAACAAAAAACGAAAACTTAAAAATAATGTGGTAAAGGGGAATCTGCTGATATTCCCAGAGTTCTAATTTACGATTTTTTTTGGTCTACATCTCACTCTGAGCCATAACAAACATCATTGTGTCAACAATTAAGAAGTTACAAATGCAAACAATTATAATTGTTTAGACACTTGTAACCAACGACCATACGCCGTATGACTGTCGCCATGCCTGACATGCGTCAGGATAGAAAAGTCATGGCAACAAACAAACCTCCATCCCAGATATCATTACACGAGTTTCTTAACAATCGGCATGATGCCTCATACCACCCATTCATCCAGGACGAGAGTGAATGACTGTCGTGCAATTGTTTCTTCTTGATATTGTTGTTGATGTGAATGTGATTGAAATGATATGTTGTTAAAGATATGTAAGGTGGCACAGTGGTTTCTATTGGAAACAAAATTCGGCATATGTTTATAGGTTCGAAAGTTTTTTTAAGTATCCTTGTCTCTGAATATCCTTCAAAAAAATACGCCCCCTATAAAAGTCCTTTAAAAATATTCTCCAAAAAACCCGCACCTTTGATAATCCTTTTTACAAAAATCGCACATTTTAAAAGCCGACAGTAAGAGTCCTTTTTATGTCCTTAAAAATATTTTTAGAAGAAATCTACGGCTTTTGATAGTTCTTGAAAGATATATATGTAAAATATATATATATATATATTTATATATATATATATAGTCCTTGAAAAAATATTTTTTTTTAAATATACACCTTTGATAGTCCTTTAAAAATTCACGACTTTGACAGTTCTTGATCTTTTTTTTTAAATCGACGTTTTTGATAGTCCTAGAAAAAATATTTTTGAAAAGTCTAAGCCATTGATAATCCTTGAAAAAGTCGAACACCATGGAGGACTGGTAGGCATTGAAAAAATATCCTTAAAAATTCAAGGTGGTGATGCTCTTTGAATATGTTTAAACAAAATCACTCCTCCCAGAGCCCATGAAACAAATCTTTACATCACTGTTCCAAAATCAAGGTTTCTTAATTTCAATTTAACAGCTAATGGGTGTATATATATATATATATATATTTGAGGGAAACATTGTTAGTTGTTAGCAGGAAGGGAGGTCTCAAATTGGATTATGAGCACTGAGACAAGGCGAAAGTACCTTTGCTGGAAATTAACAATTGCAAGAGGAAGCAGACACGGCAGGCTGAGGCAGCAAAATATGTTGGTGGATTTACAGGATTATAGAGACGGACACACAGAAATACATCCAGACATTGAATTATGTTGATATGCTTGAGTGTATGCATGAGAACACACACACACTCACCCACCCACTGAAATATAATGTTGGAGTTCCCCTTCTGGTTGTGCTTTCTTTCGCAACGATAATAACAGTTAAACCAACAATAACCATGGCAAACATTTGCCATTTGAGCTGTTACAATTGCTGTTCCCCTTCCCGTTGTCAACCCCCACTCCCAGCCATAATTCGAAAACATTATAAGAACATTAAATGTGAAACGCATGTCGCAAGTGGCTTTTATCTTTTATTGAAGTTTTGAAACGTGCAAAGAACTCATACAGAGGGCACACACACAGTTCGTTCCATTCCACGCCACCCCCTTCCCATCCCATTGGCAAATTCGTGAAAGGGAATTTCTCAAAAACTAACGACCCCTTGGTGGGTAAGTAAATAAATGAGTATGGATTTGGGTTTTTATTTCAATGTGACAAACGACTGAGTTGTTCTGTAGTGGTCAAAAGGGCGTTCCAGCAGCAGATGCTGCCGGACTTACTCCCATAACGGGCACAAAAGAAACAAGAACCCCCTTAAGTCGCGTTGCCACAAGATAACAGCAGGCGATGGCGGCGGCAGTCACATACCGCCGTTCAATGTTGTTGACATTTGTACGACCGTAAAATTTTAATCACTCCTCTGTTTAGATTATGAGTCCTGCAAGTAAATAAAAAATAATAGCATCATATCGAAATATATAAGAGGTTTTTAGCATGTCATGCACACTTGTCCTCCCACTCTTCTCTGTACATTGTCCGGCTAAATATGGCAACATATTTAGATATCATAATATCCACTTTTATTTTTTATGAAATAATAATCTATCAAATATGAAAGATTTTATTTTATTTATTATTATTTATTTTATTTTTGAAAGTGTTAATTAAAGATGGTTCATTAAAAACAGAAAACTTTTTGTGCCTATCAAAAGTTGATTGTAAAGAGGCCTGCGAAACATAAAACTCCTAATGAGGGTGTCTTCGATGAAAAATATTTAATGAGAAATGCACGACTCTGGAAGTCAGCCGTTACAAAAATATTCCACCCCTCTTAATTTTTTATTTGCAGCTCCTGATAGTCTTTGAAAAAATATTCTTTAAAAATCCACGCCTCTGATAGGCATTGAAAAAATTATACTTTAAGAATCCAAGTCTCTGTTTATCATTGAAAAAATATTGTTGTCCTTGTGTGTATCTAAGACAAATTATTAAATTATTTTTCCTTGAAAGTTTTTTCCTTATCATCCTAGAATCGATTATTCTTGGTAAGACCTTTCTGTTGTTGAAGGTAACACAAAAGTGGGGAAAGGGATTTCTTTCGGGTATACATGTATGTGTGTATGAATAGTGAATGGCAAAGTTTGTATAGATATATAGATATTTCTTCTTTGGCTTTGTTGTTGCCACAATAATTTTCTTAAATTATGCCATGAAGTTTTTCATTAATTTTCCTCAATAAACTCTGGGGTGTTATGCAGGCTACCCAGTAAAACTTTTATAAACAAAAAAAAAAACAAAATTTGTAGTTTGTTTTAATTGCAAAACAAAAAATATTTTTAAAAATTCAAGCCTTGAAAAAATATTTTAAAAATGCCAGCCCTTGAAAAATTGTTTTTAAAATCCACGTCATTGAAAAAATATTACTAAAAACAGTCAATGGCCATTGGAAATATTCTTTCGTCTGAGTCTGGCGAAGCATCGGTCGATCAAATTAGCATTGGGTTGAACCGGTATTTTGGGGACATCAGATCTTAATGCTTATTTTCGTAGAGTCTCTCAAAATGTTTGCTGGGAAACTCTGACTTTGAAACTATAGAATCGAAACTTAACGAAATACACAAATGTAAAATATTCATTATAATACGCTGGAGAATTTCAAATGATTTGCTTATTTAACTGAATAGGAAGAACACGGTGCACACTACGAGTATAAATATGAAAAAGATATTGGCAAATAAGTTGCCAACATAATTTCCATGCACGACTAGGTCGCCAGAGCACAAATGGGGGTCGAAGTGGTAATGACGGCAACAGAGCAACACCATTGTTCTGTTCAACTGCCAAAAATCATTAGCATTGACAGTTAGACATTATGCAGAGCTCTGTTCTACTGGGTTTGCTGACTTATTAAAAAAGCAACAGAAACAAAACTATAGATAATTTTGTTGGGGAAAAACTCTTAACAACTAAGAAAATTAGATCTATGAGAGTGAAACAAAAAAAGTGTTTTTTTCCGCCGACTCTTTTGGAACAATTTCATAGGTTGGGTGCTGGGTTGTGCATATTGGCAAACTAAACCATCAACAGAATTTAGTTATTAAATCCCCAAGATGTGCTTTTTGTTGGAACATAGGCTTCCTTTTCAGTGACTGTATGGCATAAATAAGGCCTGGGAATTATGCTAACCAAAAATTTTTATCAATTTAATCTGCAGTGAATTATAGTTTGTTGGGTAAAACTTTTCTTAACGGTTTATAAACTGTAATGAGCTTAGATAACTGAAGGATAATTAAGGCTACACTAACACATACAGACTTATTATTTCAGGTAAATTTATTTTATATAGCAAATAGGTTATGTAAAATATGGGCATTTTGAAACATAAGAAACTTGGATTTTAATTAGTTTTTGAGTGTCCCGTATTTTGACATTTGTGATTTTTTTACTGGCACGTAATTAAGAAATGCGACACGTGGAAGATGTCCTCTCGTATACTCTTTTCAATAAACCCCGTTTTTTAAATAAAGGTCCGAGCCGCGATACAAAGTTTCTAAATTTACAATCCTAACATTATTTTCCAACCGAATTGGCTATAAGTAGACATTTAGGATTATCCGAGGATAAAATATCTTCTAAGGGTGATTTTTTGGTAACTATATTTTTGTCGACACTGGTGGAATAAATCACACAGGCTTCGAATATCCACTTTATTAGAGTATGGCAAAATTGGACTAGGCGGATGGACCATTTGAGTAACAGTCGCGGTTAACTTTTGCATTAAAAAATTTTCATACATTAATCGATTCAAATAACAATCTCATGATTATTTCTGAATTTTATGTGTTTTATTTTTGAAAAACTTTCTTTAAGAACGATTTATATGTCTGGACTAATAATCAAAA